TGTGTGTGTTGCCTGTCTGTGGGGGAATTATAAGCGTAGGAGTCGTGTTGTGCGATTGTACCGAAGGGAAATCGACGTAGATAAGATTTCCTTCTAAACACGCTGCTTTTAAGCCATCTACGCTGACGCTATCGTTTGTTCCGTTCTTATCGATTATATAGTACTTAGATTCACGTTGAAGAACTTTGAAAGGTCCTTCGTATGCTGATTCGAATGGTCGTCGATGCGAGTCTCGATGTACGAAGACGTGTGAACTATATCGTAAGTCAGGTTGAATGAAAACATCAGTTGATTGCGGCCGAGTGGAAACAGGTTTAACTGAACGCATTGAGTTTGTAAGCCTGTTCGTGTAGGAGGTTAGATCCATGTTCATTGAAGAGGACGAAGGATCCAGGAATTCTCCTGGAAGTCGAAGTGTCGTTCCATAAACGAGTTGAGCCGCAGTGTATCCAATGTCAGCTTTCACTGCATCGCGAATACCTAGCAAGACAAGTGGAAGAGCGTCGGTCCACTGTGAAACGTTTTCAGCTGATAGTGAAGCTTTTAGTTGTCGGTGAAAACGTTCTACCAACCCGTTTGCTTGTGGGTGGTAGGCGGCCGTTCGGATGCGAGTGATTCCTAAAAGTGTGGTCAGACGACGGAAAAGATCAGATTCAAACTGACTTCCGCGATCTGTAGTGGTGGTTGAAGGGCAGCCGAAGTTTGCTACCCATCGTTCGACGAAGGTGCGGGCCACTGTTTCAGCAGTGATGTCCTTGATAGGTACTGCTTCTGGCCATCGAGTGAAACGGTCTACGCAGGTCAAGAGATAAGAGTATCCATTTGAATCTGGTAAAGGTCCTACCAAATCCAGATGAACATGGTCGAAACAAGCATCGGGAGTTTTAAACTAGCCTAAGGGACATTTATTGTGTTTGATAACCTTAGATTTTTGGCAGCTTACACAGGAGCGTGCCCACTCCCTCACGTCTTTATTCATTCCAGGCCAGCAAAACCTTTCTGCTATAAGCTTGATGGTTGCACGAACACCTGGATGAGAAAGTTTGTGCAATGTATTGAAGACATTGCGTCGATAATGTTTCGGCACGATTGGGCGATCCCTACATGTAGATGTGTCACAAAGTAAGGTTTCGTTACCTGTTCCCATCTGTTTGATGCGCAGTTTGAGGGTTGTAGACGATAACTCGTGATGAAGATCAGTGTCTTCTTTTTGAAGCTCGGCGAGTTTAAGAAGGTCGATTCCTTGGAAACTGTTCAAGGAAGTTATGCGAGAAAAGGCGTCCGCGACTACATTGTTTGCTCCAGAGATGTGTTGGATGTCTGAAGTAAACTGCGAAATGTAGTCCAGTTGTCGAGACTCACGAGGTGAGGACTTGTCTGAAGAGGAGCTTAAGGAGAAAGTAAGAAGTTTGTGGTCAATGAAAAGGGTGAATTCACGGCCTTCGGTATAGTGTTGGAAATGCCGTACAGCACAATACATAGCTAGAAGATTCCTACCGAATGTGCTGTACCTCGATTCGGTGTCTAGCAACCGTCTAGAGAAGAATACCAAAGGTTTTCAGGGGTTGTTAACCCATTGTTGTAAGACTCCTCCGATTGCTGAGTCGGATGCGTCTATTGCGATGCTGATGGGTGCTTGAGTGTCCTGATGTGCAAGCATTGTTGCTTTAGCGATAAGTTCCTTAACTGTAGAGAATGCTTTTCGTGCGTTGTCGTCCAAATTAATGGATTTCGCATTTCCACCAAGTTAGTCGGTTAGCGGTTTCATGAACAAAGCGCATTTAGATATGAATCGTCTATAGAAACTTACAAGGCCGTTAAACGTTCGTAACTGCTTGATCGTGGTCGGTTCTGGGTAATCCAGAATGGCCCCCACTTTGGTCCTAAGAGGTCGAATGCCTTGAGCATCGATAGTGTGTCCTAGGAAGTCTAATGAGTCAGCTCCAATTTGGCATTTCTGAACGTTTACAGTAATGCCATGTTTTTGTAGTCGTTCGAAAACAAGATCCAGATGCTTGAGATGTGTTTCTCTGTCTGGACTTGCGATTAGACAGTCGTCAACATACGCGTGTACGAAGTTGAGACCTCGAAAAACGTCGTCTATGAATCTTTGGAATGTTTGAGTAGCGTTTCTTAGACCGAAAGGCATTTGCGAAAATTCATAGAGTCCGAAGGGAGTTATGATAGCTCTTTTCGGTATGTCGTCAGTAGCCATAGGGATTTGGTTATACGCTTTAACCAAGTCGATTTTCGAAAAGACAGTTGTACCTTCCAAGTTAGCTGTCAAATCGTGAATGTGAGGCAACGGGTAACGATCGGGAATGGTTTTTGCATTCAATCGCCGATAGTGGCCAGTTGGACGCCAATTGTTACTGTCCTTTTTAGGGACCATGTGCAACGGAGATGCTTATGGGCTATTTGGCGGTCGTATGATTCCTAAGTCCATCATGTGATCGAATTCGTTTTTCGCTAACCTTAGCTTTTCAGGAGCTAGTCGGCGTGCTTTAGAAAATACAGGTGGTCCTGTAGTCGTGATGTGATGTGTAACATTGCTGGTTACACACGGTAGTTTCGGTTGAGGTTGTTGTATCCCAGGGTACTTATCGAGTAGTGGTTGATAGAGTGGGTCTATCATATGCTTAATTGTGACTGGGGATAATCTGCAAACAGTAAAAGAAGTTACGCAAACGGACAAATTAGTGTTTCCGTCTACTAGCCTCCGTTTACGCGTGTCGATGGTCAGATTATGGTGTTGTAGGAGATCCATACCAATGATTGGCATAGAAACATCTGCAACAACGAAGATCCAGTGAATGGGTTTGCGTAAACCCACGTTAAGGTAAACGTACCTTTTGCCATACGTAGCGATCGGTTTTCCGTTTGCCGCCTGTAAGTTTAAAGTCGATTCGTGAAGCCGTTCGTTAGGATTTGCTGGGAGAACGCTAACTTCTGCGCCAGTGTCGACGAGGTAGAGAACTCTCGTTGTCACATCCGTGACGTATAACAGACGGCTATGTTCGCCGGCTACGGTTGTCGTTAACGCGTGCCGGCTTGGAAGTTTCCCGAGTTGTTTTTCGAGTCAGTCGGTTTCGTGTTGGGAAAATTGCAGGGTTTTCTGCAATTTCTGTAAGACTTTCCATACTGGTTATGATACCAGCACCAGTCGGGATTATCTGTCCCTTGTGGTCTAGAGACAGATCGCTTACGTGATGTGCTTCTACGTGTGGTGTTTGAACGCTTACGGCCTTTACGTAAATTAAGTTAACGCGTAAGTGTATGACATAACTCGGTTGTGTCATTTTGAGTCGTTTGAGGCTTTTCTTTGACTGAAAAAACCTCGGTATTAGAAGATCTCGTAATTTCTAAGATACGATCGGCAAATGCAACCAGCTCGTCTAAAGTTTTGTTCTGAAACGAAACCAGAACCGCTTGCACCTGCTGGGGAAGTTTAGACAAGAAAAGTCGTTTGAATAGACCTTCGTCGAAAGTTCTTGGGCCTATAACCTCTCTCATCCTTTGCAAGATGTCCGTCGCAGAAAGGTGCTGCAGGTCTATGTTATTAAAAAGTTGATCGGACCTTTGTCGATCGGTTAGGTCTCCTCGTGTAAGAATCGAACGCTTTAAGTTTTCGTTAGGTTCAGAAACATCACTAGTAAACATATTAGGTGTTAGGTACCTGTTGAATTCGCGCGGTAGTGCCTTCACTGCTGCGAAGAATTGTGTGCGTGTGTCGTTCACGACGTGTTCGTGGAAGTCGGCTTCTGCGTAGCAAATCCAGGCTTCGATATCGTCGCGCCAGAAGAGCATGAGTTGGAACGAGGGTGGGGACAAACTATTAAGCTTAAATACTTTAGGTGTTTGTTCAGTCATGATGAAATATGAAGTACGATATTGAACGAGGGAAAAATATGTATATCCAAAAAGCACGAAAAAAGATATCACAATGTCTAAAAAATTAAGATAAGGCAATAATATGTAGAATCCCAAAATGGAACAGACTCACAGTTTACGATTTGGTCTACCAGATCACGTTAGGCTCACCAATAAAGATGGCACAGGTATTCAGTGTTTGACAACGCTTTTAACAGTAACACCCTCTAACATAACTCGTACCCACCAAGAGAAATCAAAAGACAGAATCGAGGAGATCAGAAGTTGTATTTGACGATTGCCAATATATCGGAATCGTCTGATCTAGTCTGACTAGCTATTGTAGTAGATGTTGAGCACGGCGTTCCCACACATTATCTGGTGCGGATGCATGACCGAGCGCTTCAACTAGGTGAGTCCGCTGAAACTAATCTGGTCAGCATTCAACGTCGAAAACTTACGGAGCTATTTATTTTGGGGATTTATTTACCGCTACAATGCCTTTCGAGCAAACCTTGCACTGGTAACATTGAAGCGCATTTTTGGCCAGTTTGACGGTAGAACTTTCCATATAATCTTTAACAGTTTTATCCATTCCTATTTAGAGTACGGAAACATAGTATTTCCTCCCTCACTCCAAAAGGATAAGGACACTCTAGAGGGTACCCAATGTCGAGCCACGAAATCAGTCCAAGGACTCAAGTTTAAACCTTATGAAGAGCGCCTCCAATCACTTTACCTTTACCCATTAGAATGTAGGCGTCTTAGAGGTGACCTTCTGATGACTTACAGTACCCTTAACACTTCTGAACATCCTCGTAAACACCTACTTAAGCTTAACCTCGATATCAACATAAGGGGTAACACCCAGAAATCGGAGACACAACATAACAGAATGGACTGTAGACACAACTTCTACTCCTAAAGAGTTGTCAAATGCAGGAACTCGCTGCCGGCCGAGCTAGTTCAAGCGACTTCTCAGGAGTCCTTTAAGAGGCAAATTGATCTATTCTTAAGGTCTAAGGATAGTATCATACTATGATTTACCAATTTCTTTTTCCTCTTTTATGTTTAACATACCTAAGTCCCTGTCTGGAGGTGTTCGTGATCCCCTGCTACTAGACACCGAAGCCTGTTAAGCGAAGTCTTCTTCTATTCCGTCCACAACCATTTTTAACCATTTGAAGTTTGAATGATTATATACCATTGAAGGTCATTGCTTTCTCATGGCAAGTACCATTCCGTAATACAGTAAATTTACTAGGAATGGTCTGAAAATTCTACACTTAAGGCTTTTAAGAACAAAATTTTGTATCGTCCACGAGCTGGCCAGTCCAAGTCAAAAGATTCTACGCTGATTTTTTGGGTGTTAATAGCTTCCATTTTTGACCGTCAGGTCGATGCATAACTCAAAACTCATTATTAAAATGTTGTCTAACGTTTTTATACTGTTGTAAATTTCATATGGGATACTAAGAAGGATTAGGTGTAGGGAATGTATGTGGATATCGTTAAATAATGATGTGTATAATCTTTTCTATCATTGATTTTCAGGTTTGTGTTTTGAGGACAAAAACCGTACGACGTGCGTTAGTCCGTTTCCAGTAAGCTCCTAAGTGCCTAGTCTTTTCTTGAGTGAGTTAGGTGAAGGGGCGGACACCATTTCTTCGGGTAACAGGTTCCAAGAATAGATGAATCGGTGCGAAAACCTTTGTCTCGGTTCGCTCTTGGCTTTTGTACTCGCTTGGTGTGTCCTCTGAGTTGTCTTGATCTGCTAGGAAAAAGAAGATATATCAGGTCTGAAATCATTACCTATTATCCTATACATCTGCGGTAGTACAGAGTTAAGAGGTCTAGTTTCTCAAGGCTTTCTTTGTATGATGGACCGGGGAATTCAGGAATTACATATTTAGTTGCCCCGTGCAATTTTTCCAAGATACCCGTACCACCTTTAAAACAGGAGCTTGTAGCCTGAACACAGTTTCCAAGTTTGGATCTCACTAATGTTATGTATACTGTAGTGAACATATAAGTATCTAACTTGGTAAATGTTCGATACAGACTCTCTACTCTGTACATATTTGCCTTTATATACCCAATGTTCATGTGCACACTTGGCCGCGTTGATAAGCGTTAGCCATTTTTAGACCAGGTAATTAGAGCATCTAAGTCCTGAAGTGCACATGCATCTGCGTCTCCTTTTATTTCTCGTCAGATCTTTGTATCAGCGTGTGGTAGCATCGAGGGCTCGACTATACTTGGAAGTCCATGTAAATAAAGTATACAGTGCAAAGTACCTAGAACAGTCTCACGTTACTCCACTAATTACTGTTTCCCAGGAGGAGCATTTAGAATTTATCCGTACTTTTTGTCCACAGCCTTTTAGTGGAGTTTTGTTCTCTGAGCTGGATGGTTTGGTCGTGGAGCTTTCATCGTTCTTCTGAACGACCAAACCATCCAGCTCAGAGAACAAAACTCCACCAAAATCATCCACCTGAGCTACAAATCTTCACCATGTCCACAGCCTACCAAACATACCTGATCTACTCTAGGATAGGTCCTGCAGTTCTTAGATTTCCAAGCATCATGAGTGGTCTCGCAAAGTAATGACATTTGGTATGTTGTCTAGGCTACTTCTACAACCTTGTCCAAGTAGCAAATAATTATATCATTTCTCAATCATTTTCTATCTCAGTCATTATATTGTGTGTTGTTGCTACCTTGACGTGGTGGTCGGGCTTGCCTATCGTGATGAAGCAACCGAGCTATACTGGCTGGAACAACCGTTCCTCAAGGTCCTACCATGTCAGACAGGTCGGTTGAAGAGCGGTAAGACTAAAAGCAACAAACTCAAGGTCCGAAGGCGAAGTCGTACTGCTGACTGTACAGAGGTGTGACAGCAGTAAGGTGTTTCCTTCAGACAACCAGCATGACAGCGATGCTGCCTTCCCACAAGGAGGGGTGGGGTTAGAAAAGGTCGACCCTAAAAATGAACACCTCACCTCACGGATTTCCGTCTCCGGCGGTAAGGCCCTTTGAAGAACGGAGCTAACACGTCAAAAACCTCCTACGAAAAGGCCGTGCGCGACCGGCCTCAAGCAGTTGTCCCTTGGGCACTGCGGTCACGCTCTCAGGTCACTAAGACCACCTTTAATCCAATTTCCTTTTCAGGTACCTCCATAAGAACCCTTCCACGGTGTGGGCAACCGGGAAGTGATAACCGCCCTCATACCTCTAACAGCACCCAAGACCACTGTATTCATAATCAACCTCCCTCTTCAATTCCTATTATTCCTCCTACATCGACTTTCAACTTTAAATTTCCTCTCTCGGCTTCCACCTCAAGTGTCACCATAGCCAACGATTCTAGTGCGCAAAACACTATCCCAGGTCTACTGAAACCTCGCTCCAAACTACACATTGGAGCCTTCAACGTACGCACCCTATGTCAAATCGGTCAGCAGGCTTCCTTGGCTAAAACCCTAGAGTCTCTTTCCATTGATGTATGCTGTGTCTCCGAAACACGCATACAGGATTCCAGTGTGGTTATTCACTTGACCTCACCTCGGCAAAACGGAGAGCCAACAAGATACACCCTTCGTGTATCTGGTGACCCGATGCCAAGTTCTCGTGGACTGGCAGGTGTAGGCATAGCACTAAGCATGAGGGCGGAACAGGCACTGCTAGAGTGGATCCCCGTCAACAGTCGTCTATGTGCTGTTCGGTTAAACGGCTCCGTAAGAACTCGGAAGGATGGGGACACACGTCGTTGCCTTTTTGTCGTTTCTGCCTACGCTCCCACTGACTGCAGCTCAGATGAAGTGAAAGATGAATTTTACAGAAAGCTGTCCGAACTTCTTCAGAAAGCTAAACGCTCAGACATAGTACTCGTAGCAGGTGACTTTAATGCTCAGATAGGTAGCTTAAACCAAATAGAAAGGCATTTAGGTGGATATTTCAGTGTTCCGACACAGCGAACAGATAATGGTGATCGTCTGCTGCAGCTATGCTCAGACAATCGTTTATTTTTAGCAAACACAAATTTTAAGCATAAGGAGAGACATCGTCTAACATGGCGACCCCCTACACCAAACCAACGATGGACTCAAATAGACCATATTGCCATCAGTCATCGTTGGAGAGGGTCGGTAGAAGATCGTCGCTCGTTCTGGAGTACCTGCTTGGACTCCGACCATGCCCTAATACGGGCACGCATCTGCTTGCGCCTCACTGGACGCAAAAAAGCCACATTAAAAAGACCCGTCAGAACTGAGTTGAGTAACGAGAAAATCAAAAGTAGGTTCCAGGAACAACTGAGGTCACACTTAGGTAGTTGTGAAGACGAGGCTGACCCAGATGTTGCTTGGAAGGGCATACAATCAGCTGTGGAAACAGCAGTGACATCTATTAGTGACTTAAACCACAGAGTTGCAAGGAACCAGTGGATTTCTTCAAGGTCTGTCACACTGATGGATTCTCGTAAACTCGTCCCATCAGGTTCTGAACATGATGAAGAGCGAAAACAAATCAGATCTAGGTTAAGAAAAAGTCTAAGGAACGACCGTGAGCAGTGGTGGGTAACGAAAGCAAAAGAGATGGAAAAGGCGGCGACTATAGGGAACACAAGACAGCTTTACAGACTAATAAAAGAAACTGGAATTAATAAGTCAAGTGTAAGTGAGATTATTTCGGAAAAAGATGATACACTCATCTGCTCCAAGTCCAGGCGTTTAGAACGATGGGCGGAACATTTTAGAGAACAGTTCAGCTGGCCTTCAGCTACTGTACAACTACCCTCTATTCCCAGACAGTGTGAATGGAACATTGAAGTAGGTCCCCCAACTCTTGCTGAAGTTCAAAAGGCTATAGTTAATCTGAAACGAGGAAGGGCAGCTGGTCCAGATGGATTGGCTCCAGAGGTCTTTAAGGATGGTGGCCCAATTTTAGCGATTAGGTTGACTAATATTTTAGCTAAGATCTGGGAATTAGACTTTATCCAATCTGACTGGTCGCAATCACTTATCGTCCCAATATATAAGAAAGGGTCAAAATCATCCTGTGACAACCACAGAGGGATTAGTTTAACAAACATAGTATCTAAAATACTGGCCTCGATAATTATCAAACGCCTAACTAAGACTCGTGAACTACAAACTCGAGAGAACCAAGCTGGCTTTAGACCTGGTCGTGGCTGCATCGACCACATATTCACCATTCGTCAGGTTCTAGAACACAGGCATACCTATCGGCGTCCGACGATGGTGGTCTTTCTTGACTTAAAAGCAGCATTTGATTCTGTAGACCGCGAGACTCTGTGGCAGTGTCTGTCATTGAAAGGCGTACCTCAGAAGTACATAAACCTTGTGAAGGCTCTTTACTCGAACACTAGTCGAGTGAGAGCTTATGGCGAACTGTCATCTACTTTTGCAACCTCAAGTGGTGTCCGTCAAGGCTGTCCGCTTTCCCCATTTTTGTTTAACTTCATCATAGACCTATTGATGGAAATAACACTCTAGTCGACTGAATTCTCGGGTATTGATCTCCTTCCAGGAGGTCCACTTATCGACTTAGAATACGCAGATGACATAGTCCTGTTTGGTGAAGACGCTGACAAAATGCAGAGTCTTCTGGTAGCACTAAGCAACAATGCCAGAATGTTTGGGATGCGCTTCTCTCCCTCTAAATGCAAGTTGTTGCTTCAGGACTGGTCTGCGTCAACACCTGAACTAAGGATAGGGAGTGAAGTAGTCGAACGCGTCGACAACTTCACTTATCTTGGAAGTCTGATCAGCCCTAATGGGTTGGTGTCTGACGAAATCTCAGCACGGATTCGAAAAGCTCGTTTGGCTTTTGCCAACTTACGTCACCTTTGGCGGAGGCGAGATATCCGTCTATCAATAAAAGGGCGAGTATACTGCGCGGCAGTCCGTTCTGTCTTACTTTACGGCAGCGAAACATGGCCTTTAAGAGTGGAAGACACCCGTAAGCTACTAGTATTTGACCACAGATGCCTTAGAAATATTGCTGGCATCTGCTGGGATCACCGGGTAAGTAATAGTGAGGTTAGACGCAGGGTATTAGGGAATGATGGTAAATCAGTTGATGAGGTTATGAATCTTCATCGACTGAGATGGTTGGGCCACGTATTACGTATGCCTGAACACCGATTACCACGACGTGCAATGCTAACCGGTGTAGGGGATGGTTGGAAGAAAGTTAGGGGCGGCCAAACCAAAACGTGGCATCAGTGCCTGAAGTCACTAACTTCTAGTCTGAGCCATGTTGGTAGATGCAGACTACTTGGTTGGGGTCCGCGTGACTTTCGTAACCGATGGTTGGAGACTCTTGGTGACATGGCTCAGAATCGATCACAATGGCGTCGGTGTATACACTCCCTGTCTTCCCTTAAACTAAGAGATTAAAATCACTTCATATCTTTCTTTCTACGAACTAATTCTTTCTTCCTATACTATATCCTTATTGCAACCTTTGACCTAACCACTCCTATGAATCCGGTGTTCATCTTGCTGTGCTAATGAGGTATGGCAACCTGGACCGATGCACATATGTGCCTGGTCCTACGTTGTAGCTGACTGACTGACTGACATTATATTGTGTGTAATGTCCCCATTGGGAAACTTGACCTTAGTATTAAAGGTTAAATCCCCCTTTTGACCACATCGCATCATCCCGTACCATTTATCAATCGGGATCACAATCTTATTTTTTAAAACCTCAGAACTCGTTCATATAAGATTGAAGTTAGACATTAACACCGTTGGATGCCGGCTCAGTGGTCTAGTGGTTAAGCGCTCGCTCGCGAGACATGGGCCCCGGGCTCGAGTCTCGCGAGGCGAGGTCGTGGATGCGCACTGCCGAGAAGTCCCAGGAGAGGACGAAACGTCCGTCCAGTGATTTCAGGTTTTCCTTGGTGGTCTACAGTTGATTCACAATCTCAACTATTAAGATTACTATAATATTCACAAAAACCCCGTCTGATATAGATCCTTAATCGTAACGGAAACGTAAATCATTGGATTTAAAGCGTGTTTTAAATGTATTTTTCTTGCTCCGAGACTTGAAAGTGTTGTGCATTTTCGAGGAGTCCATAACTATGATGAAACAACTATTCGGTGATTCCTGCCCATAATCGCTAGCATACCACATATGTTAATAAGCAGTTTTGTTCATCATAGGTTGATCAAACCAGTAAAACAGACTACTTGCTGTTGTAGATTAAAGGAGCCTAGAAGTGTGTGATGGTTTTATACTCTTCTTTCAAATGTCTTGTTCTTTCCGTTTATAAGTTATTGTCCAAGCCTAAATCGGTTGTACAACGTGTATGAGCAAAGAGCACAACTTCCGGCTATTCTATTTAGATTTTGATTCTACCCTTCCGTTTACCTAATGAAACATTACTCCTAGCCTTTCACTAAGGACGTCCAACTCCCTCGAAATCCCACTTCACTCGCAAAAAGAGTATCGCTATAAGTCGAGTACACATCTGCTTACTCTGCTTCTATATGTATCTTTTCCAGATTTTTACATTTCTTCTTAGTCTTACGTTATTTGTTTAGCTGTTTCAAGTAGAAGTTCTTGTCCTACCAGTTAAAATGAATGAAATATCTAGTCTTAGTTCCTTGCGTAAAGTTCGGTACTTGTGTTTAATAACAAGACATAAGGAATTAATCAAGGTTAGAACAATTTATTATTGATGAATCTCATGCTAGGTTTAACTCAGTGATTCTGTTCTTTTTTTAAATCTCCATCTAAACTCTTACACGTTCTTAATCTTTGTGTACTTATTTGTAGCATGATTTGTAACCTATCAAAATATGAAAGTAGTTTATTTTAATTGTAACTAGAGCTTTTAACGTAACTGACATTGTATAGTTTTCTGGTTATTTTCAGGCACTAAAACCCTATTTAAACGCAGTTAGGCACACTCTAAATGCAGCATTATGTGTTCAGAATTTTTCTTCACAAGTTGTTGAACGTCACAACAAACCTGAAATAGAAGTTCGAACCTCCAAGGAACTACTACTAAACCCCGTAATTATTAGTCGGAATGAAAAAGAGCGGGTACTGATTGAAGGGTCAATTAATTCAGTTCGTGTCAGCATTGCTATCAAACAGTCTGATGAAATCGAAAAGCTACTTTGTCGAAAATTCACTCGGTTTATGATGACTCGTGCAGAAGACTTTGTTATACTTAGGCGTAAACCTGTCCCTGTAAGTTCATATCTCTGATCGTTTAAAGTTAACTTTGGAACCTCATTTCCTATTTTTGCTGCAGCAAAACTACAAATTTGATCCCTTTTTAATATTTGCTTGTTATTTGTACACAGTTCAGAAAAAGCCCTGATAATTGACTAGGAATTCCCACCCTGATTTTCTATCATGCGATAGTTTATTAATCCTATTCGAACTGTCTGGATCACTGAGAAGAATTTCTCATTGTGAAAAGAGAGTTCACAATATTTACTCCCTTGGTTTTCTGTTAGTTTCTTAGCTTCTGATTGTTATTTCCTTAACCCTAGCCAAGGTACGTACACCTTTAGTCACACCTGTATTGTGAGAACAGTCCGGAGTCCCTATGTAACTTAACTACACTGAGACATTCTTCCAACATTTTTTGCTTAGTGGTCCTAGCGCAAATGTTCCTTTGATTAGAAATCGTAGAATATATTTCTTTTCCACATATGTATGTGCTTACTGTTAGAGTGTGATTGATATCCGTTCACTCGACCATGTAATATCGTTTAGTTAATTACCGCTAGTTCAGATTTACGTTCATGTACATCAACAGATCAGGTTCTATACAAGTAACTAGAAAGCAATATTGATCATTTTACTATGTAATAATAAACTGACTAAAATATATTTTGAATACGTCAGTACAGCTTCAGATTTTCATGTTTTAGGTAGTACATATATTAATCAACTTGAAAGACTTCAGTGTATCGACTTCATGTCCCGTGTCAAGGAAATGTCTTGCGATGGCACTGCTGAATGCTTTTAATCCATTTAATCTTGAACTTTTCGGAATATATTCTTTGGATCGGACGTAGGCTCTCCTTCCTGTTCTACTAATGTAACTGCTTTGGCAGATACATGTAGATTTGTATACACATTTGGTGAGATACATGTTGTAAGCAGTTGATGAGAACCTAACGAAATAAAATGAATGCATATTATTTTGCATCAATCTTCGTTCTTGCTCTTTTTAAGATAATAAAGGGAACTATGTGTATGAAACAAAAAGTTTTTTGACATATATCCCATAGATCTATGAGTGCGTGACATAAAATAAGTATCTGTATACAAAATTTGTTTGTTGTTTATTTAAATTAATGCTCACAAATAGACATCAAAATAAATATGCACCACAAAAATACGAAAATGGCAGCGTAAAGAGATATAAAAAAGAGTCACTGTAATGGAAGTAAATAAAAATAAGTGAACGAGAATGGTGTATGCTAGGAGAAACGGTCTGGTTTGAAAACATACGAACAGGAAGGACTTTTTGTCGAGGGGATTCCTCTCAATTCTATGAAGTGTAAAAGAACAACAGGATAGCCATTGGCTTTTATTATGGGTCGTGTATGACGACGTCTTGAGTCACTGAGTTGTACAATTCTTGGGGCCCCCAACCAAGGAGCCGTGATAAACCAATAAATGCCAGTCTTAAAGAACTTACTTTCATATCACCGGTCTGCTTAGCTTCGATCAGTTTGTAATTATTTTTTGTCATTTGTTTATCTAATTAATTCTTCTGATAGTAGTGTTGCCTTTTATATTTCACGACCTCATTTTTTACATTTATCCTTAGTTGTTTCTACCCATAAATCCCATCTTATTTGTGTTATGTTACACATAATCGAATACAGATTAATATATATGTTAGTTTGATTAACTACTGTTCATTAGCAAGGTCTCAGAAAATATATAAAATCGTGACAAACTAATCAGTTATGAATAGAAAGGGTAAAATTCACAAATGGTAGTTTTAAATAGTTGTATTTTAATATTACCAATATCTGGTATCTAGTTTTTGACTACATTTCATTCATTTTATCAGTTGTTAGAAATATTCGTTCAAATTTAGACGAGACATTTTATAAATATTAATTTTTTTGTCTTAGTTTTGGAACGGTCAGTAGCTCATTGCTTGTTATCCATAAAAAAAATTACGTTGTCGAAACTTCGTTTAACTGTTTTGTTAGTTATCGATTAACTTTTTAGCTTAGGGATCCTTTGAAATATCTGTCTGATTGAACTATAATTTGTAATGGATGTTCTGTCTCCTGGGGTTGTTTGCAAGACTTTTTAAAATTTCATTTTTGCAAACTAGGGCTGGGAATTGCAACTCATTCGAGTAAATTAATTCCTCCGTAGAAATTTACTTCCTCATTTTGATGATGATTCAAGGCAATAATGGACCTAATTTAGAGAACATCAGAAATCTTAAACCAAATTTCACAGAAAGCTGTAAATAACGTACAGAAGATAGATATTCAACGATGCTAAAGATCATCATTATTTAAAACGAACAAGTCCAACATTAGGATTGATACCTGCGAAGTTAAAGATCTATAGTTATTTACAGGTTTGTTGTATTTCTCCTGTTTTGTTCGTGTCACTCCTTGGAGGAAATAAAACTAATGATGGAAGAGTTCAATAACCTTAATGTTATTTTGAAAGCTTTTCCTGAGAAATTGTTAAAAAGTTGTATTATATATTGTTTTTCTCTGAGTCAAACCCATTTTTTCATACTATCCTTTGGTTAATATATTTTAAAGTACTTTAAAGCTTGGTGTTAATTTAACTTATGATTCCTTTGATTTTAGGGTGCATAAAATGCATTTGTTGTAGAAGTGTTAATATAATTCCTATGTAAAGATGTCCATTGCATATCTCGTAGAGCATAGACTAATTGAAATAAATGGTCCATTCGTTAGTATTTTTAGCTTACGATGTAACTTTTGTTAATATAAACTTATTTTTTTTCCGTTGGACTTGTCGATAATCCTTTTGTTATGTTATCTACATTCCCATCAATGTATTACTTTGAATCTATTGTAGATTTGCTTTTTGTATGACTTAATTATTTTTTGGTGTAAGTTGGAGACGTCAAGTTTCTTTGATTATTGATATCGTTCGAAATTTTACCACATCAAGGTGTTGTTAGAAATACTTTCTCGTCCTATAAATTTCACTCATTCACATCTCAATCATTCAGATTAACGACATGTAATACATAGTTAAAATTCTATTTTCTCGTAAAGATATTTGTTCGTCTAACCTTCTGCGGTCCTGTTTTCTTAATCAAAATCCTAACATTTTTCTTTTTATGTTCCTTTCTCTATAGGGCTATGACATCAGTTTTCTTATCACTAATTTTCACACGGAACAGATGTCAAAGGCAAAATTGGTTGATTTCGTAATTACTTTCATGGATGAGATTGATAAAGAAATTTCCGAAATGCGCTTAGCAGTGAATTCTCGGGCTCGTCAATGTGCTGAAGAATTTTTGAAGGCGTTTGACTAACAGATATGTGAAGTAAATAGTAATTTCGCTTAATATTGTGGTAATTCAAAGTAACTTTAACGACTCTTTTGAAACAGTTTTTTCTATAATTTTGTCTTTCAATTAACGTTGACTTGTAAAAGTAAAATGTTTTTATGTTAAAGTTTCAGTTTTATATATCCTACATCAGGGTTTGATTAATAAATCCGAATCTTAAAATTATTTGTAAACTAAATTAGTTTAGAGGAAGCATGACTGGAAATTAATGTCTTTCATATTAACAAAATCAGATAAAACTCACACTTCATTATCTTATGTTACTGTTTCACTCTTAGTTTTATCAAACTTAATATTATGTTATCAAGTTAATCACTAAAACTAATAAAAATATATAAATACTCACTTATTGAGACAAATTATGGCAATTTGTAGAGACTTGGTCCAATCTGCCTACTTTAAAATGAAAATTCTTGAGATTCACTAAGAAAATATAATACTACACCTTTGTTGTTTGCTCATTATTTGTAGTTCCATTTTCTAAGTTGACACAGCTCATACTTATCGTTTGATAGTAGTCACGTGATGAGACTTTCGACAGTGAGTATTTTTGAGATCATTTGTTGTCAAGCTCTCTACTTATGCTCATCCTGTTATTGGGACTTTAGTCAATCACGTAGTGTTCTAAAACACCTTAATTTTTTCGGAGCTGGCATTCATGATAATAAAGAGGAATAAAGAGAAATTCCAGTTTCGAATGATCCTTCAATAAGTAAATCTATATTCATTAGTGAAACACAATCTTTCGGTTTTAGTGTTTATCTCTCATCCCTAGTCATATGCGTAAATAATTGATTATTTATTGAAACAAGTATTGCTACATATAGGCAGTAAAATAAGTGTCCGCTGCATAGTAGGAAAATAAAACTGTTAGGATACTGATGAAGGAGGGGTGGATACGATCTAAAACAATAACTGAATAAAAATAAGTGAACAAGAGTAGTATATGAAAAAGTGCAAACAAAAAGTCCTTCCATCTAAAGAAGTTTCATTTCTATGGAGAAATTTGTGAAAGGACGCTTTCTGGCTTCTACTGCGACCTATGTCTAGTAACGCCTCAAATACTATCTCACCCTAACCAAGTAATCGTGGCGGACATAGTGTTGCCATTAGGTGTCAGGAATCTTTTGGGGACAATGATGATCAGACACAGAAAGCCGCTGAACATACCCAACTCGGAAAGCACCGGTTTCTCAAGTATAGAGCAGAACCGGTCTTGCCGACATATTATGAACCCTATCTTTTACAGTCAGGCTAACATCGAGACGACACCAAAGATGGCTCTGATTAGCACAAACCATTTCGAACTTTGCCTAAACGGGTACCACTACCACTGTGACCTATGCTACTTATGATAACATATTTAAGTAGTATGTTTCAGCGATTGAAAGTAGAATACCTGCCAGCCGAAGATTGAAATACAGAGAACAGAATATTGGAGAATATAAAGGACAACGCAAAGATGTTCAAGAAATGTATTTAATGTTTAGTTTCCATATTTTATCAATCCACTATGTGATTTTGCATTGAACAATAAATTGGTTTTCTTCACTTGAGTTCTCTTACACTGCACCAGCACTCCCACAAATAACCAGATACACAAATTTTCCGACTACTGGCGACCCAACACAAATAGTGGTTGTAGGCGTAAGTTCCCGCCAGTTCTGGAAAAGTACCTCGTACTTGAAAAGTGCATTCTATACCTACGGACATTTATTCCTGACTGACTAAGTGTTGATTGCACAGCTTGATCATCATCACGCAGTAAGACAATACCATTCGTTTACTGAAGATGGAAAAGTTTATCCAGGACCACTACCTATTTCCATTAGAGTAGTTTGTAGAATGTTATCGATGTCAATGTTGAGGAGGAATAGTGAGTAACCTGCTTCCAGTTCCTCTCACTACCCATACAAACGATATTTGCTAATGTTGTATGGTGTTCATTCAAAGTATTTCTCGAGAACCAAAGGAAATATTGTTAAGGAATGAGCCTTGATTTTCATGGATATAGTCTTCATGTGTTTATACTTATGACGTTTGTAATAAGTAGTTTTCTTTGTGATTAAGGAATAATATCTTGCATTACACTTCAATAAATTAACTTTCTTGATTCATCTTATCTTCACCATGCGTATGTGACCCATACAAATTGGTAATTGACGATTATTCTCTACAATTAATTATGACTTTCATAGCATCATTCTAAACTACTGCAGAAAGCTATTCCACTGTCAAATCTTACTGCATTAACGATTTACTTTCTTATTTGTCTATTTATTTTTATTCATTTTTTAGCACATATATTACCGTTTATTCTTATTCTGTTTTCACAAACATGCTTATCAAATTTTTCACATATTTCACGTTTCTTTTCATTTTTTTCCCTTCCCTTTAAAGTTAACTCAACATTCTAGATTTTACAGAACCTATTTAAATGTGGTGAATATTATGGGAACACTATTGAAACTTGTGTATAACTTCATCTCTGAAGAAACCCAAAATGGTTTCTTCACAACACTTATGTACAAATAAGCTGTCTGTGAATAACAATACATTTTTTTCAAAGGATCATTGTCAGAAGTCAAATAATGTCATTTAGAATCGATGTGATTTTACTGTTTGCAATTAAATTATTTCGTAGTAATTTTCCTATAGAAGTTCTCACGTTTGAACTAGTGGACATCGGTTTTGTTTTAGATGCTTTTTATACTTTGAAATCTTGATCCTCATGAGTAAGTAGTTCACGAGTCTCAGACAGTCTGAGGAGTATGGTGGGATCCATCACCTTGTACATGACTGAAGTAAACATCCACTAATAGTAATTGTATAAATGACATAAAACCTTTCCAAAGATTCAAATGGTTCTGAATGGGATAGAAGAAGCTTTCGCTTAACAGGCTTCCGTATCTAATAGCAGTGAATCACTGACGCCTCCAGGTGGGCATATTTTACGTTAAAAAGGAAAAAGTTGGTAAATTATAGTGAGATACTGTCCTTAAGGATATGTCAGATTTTCTCGAAGGACGGGGACGTCTCTTGAGCTAGTTCAACCGGCAGCGAATTCCAGAATTCGACTACTTTTAAGGAGTTGAAAGTGTGCCTACAGTCCGTTCTGCTGTGTTGTGTCTCCAGTTTCTGTGTTACCCCTAAGGTTTGTGTTGAAACTAAGCTTAAGTAAGTGTTTAAAAGGATGTTCAGAAGTGTTTAGGATACTGTAAGTCATTAGGTCACTTCTAAGACGCTTGTACTCTAGTTCAATGACTGGAGGCGCTCTTCATAAGACTAGAATCTGAGTCCCCGAACTGATTTCGTGGCTTGCCGTTAAACACTTTCCAAAGTGTCCTTATATTTTTGGAGTGGGGGAGGAGACACTATGTTTCCATACTCTTAATGGGGGAGAATAAAACGTGAAGATTAGGTGACAGGTTCCGTCAAACTGATCAAGAACAAACTATTTCCTTGAGTTATGTCCCAAATTTTAAGTTTTTCTGCCAAGATTTTTTAGTTGTTAAATTTCCCATAAATGTACATGTTGACCTAGCTTATACATGCACTGTATTATATCATCTCTATACCGTTTGAATTTAGCACGTATCTGAACCACCTTTAACATTTTGAACTTTATAACTCTTATGACTGAACACTTGATTCGAATTTCTAACCCCCTCTAGTAACCCTCAGGCTAAATGCACACGACATCGTGAACGCGAGAGAAAAGGTGCGGAATATGGAAAGGATGCTTTACTCCAAAGCTCGTTTATGTACAGAAATTCGGGGGTATTTACAGCTTTTCTGATGGCCTTGGGCTTCTGGAACCCTTCTAAATATAGTGGCAGGATAGTTATCCAGTCTGAAATGTAACCCTTGACTTCAATTTCTAGATGTATCTTGTAAACATCTATTCAATGCTAATAGGATAAAATGTTTTCTAGCGTTTTCAGGGTCCATTTGGACTTTCCAAGAAATTTTCTGGGTCACACAAACACCACTAATCTCATGTTGGTGTTTATTGCTATGCGTATTTGGGTGAATAGTTCTGTTACATTAGTTGCCTAAAAATACGTTTAATATAATTAACATAAAGTCACCTCATTAAGATGCTATCGTACTGCACTGGTATAATGATTAAACTATCACATGGTTGTTAGTCAGGCAAGCTTTGCGAATAAAATATCTGGAGCCTATTATTAAAGTTGACACTAAGTAAACTGATATTTCTGGGTCGCTATTTGTACTATAATAAGGCAGCTCGGATCTGTTAATTCTACAAACTTCTATTTTTTTCGAATCACGTAAAACAATACCTATTTCCTCAATCAACATTATAACTAGTTATACACAATGGCTTGTAGTGACTCACATTTATCACGAGAACACGACTGGTTTAATAAAAATTATTATTATAATCAACTGTAACAGTGTTTGTTTTAATGTGCTTTTGTTTAACTGTGCTAAGAAGCATCCATTATTCACACACTTTGTGACTTCGGGCGAATTTGGTTACGTTCTCTAACCAAGCTTGTACCCTTGCACGATCTCGGTATCCTTTCGATACCACGAGATCGCCAGCAAATATATCTCGACTTGGTCCATTAACTGCCTTCTGATATTAGGCTTCTCGGGGATTTTATGGATTTATTTGGTTACGTTCAACCTTCGCCTTCTGATTTATTTGGCACGCGATTCTTTGTAGCGGTGTTCATAGTCAATCCCAACTCGACGCCACGCCACAGGCTTATGGATATCGTCATAGTGGATTGTCGTGACTTGACAATCGCATAATATGATTGATAGAATTGGCGAAACTAATAATAAGCTTGGTCTATAGATTGACTTAAAGTACCAGTGATTAGTGTTTCCTCGTGTTTATCTTTATCTCATATAGATGTTTTCAGCATGGTTCTCTATCACTTGCTCATTTAGTAAACTCCTTGTAACCTTGTTAAGCTAATTGGAGGTTCAGCGACAATCACGTATGAAAATTCTCAGTACCAGCAGTCGAGCGAATCTCCTGCAAAATAAAAACTATCGAATTTATCCCAACACTGACAAAGATTCATGCCACTACCATGGACATGAGGTGAGAGTTGTACTCCCCT